TGCTTGTTAAAAGTGAAAAGAACTTAAAATACTTACTGCTGAATATCAAAGACCAGGGCCTTCTGTATGGGTTGTTTCCCAATATAAAGAAAACAAAAATCATTGCCAGTTGATCAATAAATAACATCAGATAAACGGAGTCCTGGTGTGGCACCATGAGATAATGGGGTAGATTGCAAGATTGGTTTAAATCCCAAGCTCAGTGGTTCAAACTCACCAGCCACTCCTCAGAAACCCTCTACAGGGTCACTATGAGTTGTGAACCAACTCAAGCATGCTTAACAACAAAAATAACAAATGGAGAAAGTAAATTAAGTTGTCAAAGATTTTGTTTTGCTTAGATCCATCATTAACACTCATGAAAACAGTAGTCGTGAAATCAAGCGATATATTGCATCCAGCACATCTGCTGCACAAGATCTCTTTGAAGTGTTTAAGGCCAAAGATATCAGTTTGAGAATGATAGTGCTCTTGAACAAAGCCATGGAATTTCCAATAGCTTCATATGTATGCAAAATTTGGACAATGAATAAGAAAAACCTTATAAGAATTGATGCATTTGAGTTATGATATTGGGGAAGAATATTAAAAGTACCATAAACTGCTAGAAGAACAAACAAATCTGTGTTGGAAGGAGTACAGCCAGAATGCTCCTTAGAAGCCAGGATGATCAGACTGCATCTCTTATACTTTAGTCATATCACCAGGAGGGACCAGTCCCTGTAGACTGACATCATGTTCGGTAAATTTGAACGACAAAGGAAAAGAGGGTGACCCCCAATGAGATGTATTGACACTGTGCCAGCAACAATGGTTTCAACTGTAGCAGCAATTGTGAAGAAGGAAAAACACCAACCAGTGTTTTGTTCTTTGAACATAGATAGGGTCGCTATGAGTCGGAATCGACTCTACGGCACTTAACAACATAACAACATCAAGTTTAAGAGAAAGAGCTATATAGTTTTGTAGAAAACTTGTGTAATCTTTACTTTTATTATCTGAAACAAGAAAAAATGGCATTGGAATATGTTTGGTTCTGGTTTTAGAAATATGAAATAAGTGAAATTGTTGGATTCAAAAAAGAGATACATAAAGTGAAATATGATAAATCCTTGCCATCAGTAATACCTGTAATCTATTGTTCTGTAAAATAGACATAAACAGACTTGGATTTGCTTAGTTTATCCCAGGTTTCAGTGATGATTTCTGAGTTAAACAGACTGGAAGGAAATGCCTGGTTGTCTATTTCGGAAAATCAGCTGATGAAAACCCTATGAATCACAAAGGTCCAATTTACAGCCAATCATCAGCATGGCCCAGGACCAATCAGCTTTCCCCTGTATATGGGGTCACCATGAGCCATGGGGTCAAATTGATGTCGGCTACCAGCACCAGCACCAGCACCAGCACCACCAATGGAGGGGCACAGCATTATCTTTGGACTGTTATTGCTGCTGCTGTGTGCCATGGTGTCAGTTCTAACTCATAGCAACCCCGTATAGAGCTTCTGACACTGTAAATCTTTCTTGGAACAGAAAATCTCATACTTTATTCATGGTGCCGCTGGTGACTTTGACTGCTGACCTTTCAATTAGCAGCCCAATGTGTAACCCAGTACAACTACCAGGGCTCCTTCAAAGTGTTTTACCAACCAACAAACAACTAAGTAAACCTTAGTTTAAACATCAAAATTGAAAGTACCAGGCAGTGAGAAAAGAACAAATGGTCTTGTAAGAAATGCAACCAGAATGCTCCTTCTAAGGGAAGATGGCGAGACTTGGCAAAGCAGAGAGTCAGCAAAATAGAGGAAGACCCCAATGAGATAAACAGACACAGTGGCTGCAACAGAAGACTCAAACATGACAACAGTTGTGAGGCTGGCACAAGACCGGCAGTGTTTCCTTCTGCTGTGCATTGAGTCCCTATGAGACAGAACTGACTCGATGACACCTAACAACAACAACAACAACAACAACAACAGTGAGAACAAGCTTGTACCTATAGTTATGGAGGGTTGTTGATGCTGAGTGTCAGGTATTTAAGGTTCATGTTTCCATTCTCTGTGTAGTTTTATATGTTTAAAAATTTCTGTGATAAGATCACATTTTTATAAATATCATGCCTTTCTATATGAATATCCAACTGAAATGAGACCATTTTAATAATATACAATTTGTAAAATAGGTCAGTAAACACAAGGAGAAGTTTAATTGAACAATACAAACTGAAAATATAGTCCAAACTCAGGTCACCCTCAAAATATTCCAAGACCAACCAAGTTTGGAGGCCCATTACATCAAATGAAAAACTAGTCACTACAATTTGCAAAGTCTTCCAGACCATACAGACAATGGGAAATTGTTCAGTCACCTTTACAGGCTAGCTCTCTTTGATACAAAAATACGGAAGGTTACTTCAAGAAAAGAAAATTATGGTCAGGCTTACGAACATAGAGACACATATCCCAAATTAATTCGTAGCAGAGCCAATAAAGCAGGGAATTAAATGAAGAAATAGGATATGTCCAAAGAACACAAAAATAGTAACACATTAGAAAATACTATTAATTGTAAATCATTATAAATATACTGTCGGCTGCCAAAAGTATGAAGAAACGTGTAAGAAGTACAGTCAGAACGCTCCTTAGAAGGGCAGATGGGGAAACTGTGTCTCAGTAACTTTAGATAGGTTAATCAGGAGGGACCACTTCCTGGAAAAGAACACCATGTTTGGTAAACAGAGGGTCAGCAAAAAAGAAGAAAGCCCTCCGTGGAATGGGTGACACAGTGGCTACAATCCTCAACTCAAACAGCAGCTATGGTGAGCATGAAACATGACTGGGCAGCATTTCGTTTTTTGGTATCATACTCAGGGTTGCTTTGAGTCACAACCAATTGGATGGCACCTAATAACAAAAAAAGGTTTGGGAAGAACAGAGAATGCATTTGGAAAAGAAATAATCTTTAATGAAAATTGAACACATGCTCAAGGCACCACTGGACCAACAAACAACATTCTTATCAAAAAAGAAAAGATTGAAGTTGTCAAGGACTTCATTCTTCTTGGATCAACTATCAACACTCATGGAAGCTGCAGTCAAGAAATCAAACAGCGTATTGCATTAGGCAAATCTGCTGCACATGACCTTTTTAAAGTGAAGAACAAAAATGTCAGCTTGAGGACTAAGGTGCTCCTGACCCAAGTCATGGCATTTTCAGTTACCTCATATGTGTGAGAAAACTGGGCAGTGAATAAGGAAGACCGTAGAAGAATTGATGCTTTTGAGTTATGGTGTTGGAGGAGAATATTGAAAGTGCCATGGGCTGCCAAAAGAACCAACAGATTTGTGTTGGGAAAAGTTCAGCCAGAGTGCTCCTTGGAGGCCAGGAGAGCCAAACTTCATCATCTCTCATACTTTGCACATATTGTCAGGAGGGACCAGTCGCTGGAGAAGGATATCATGATTGGTAAGGTGGAGGGTCAGAGAAAAAGAGGAAGAATCTCCAGAGTGGCAACAATTGAGAGATTGGTCCAGGACAGGGCAGTGTTTCGTTCTGTTGTTCATAGGGTCGCTATGAGTCGGTACCGACTCGATGGCACCTAACAACAACAACAGCAAGTCAATACAATAGTACACTAACATTAGGAAGGAATTTCCATGCTCTTCCTACTCCTCACAAGGTCGACGGTCCTTGGAAACCCTATATAAGGTCACTATGCTCGGAATAGACTTGACAACAATTAACAAAAACAACAGCATCATTCCTCAGTCCTCAGTCCCTAAAGACGGCCCTGGGAACCCCAGTTTGGCTGCTAGGCTCAGGTTCCCTCCTACTTCTGACTAGGGAGTCCCAAGAAATGAGGGTCTTAATCTGAATGTGGCTGAGTCAGCTAAGAAAGTCCCAGATTGTATTTAAGAGTCATAAAAAGGCCCCCCGTGTGAAATCTGCAGGACCCCATAATACTGCCACCAAGAAAAAGAGTTGTTGTTGCTAAGCGCCATGGAGTCCCTTTAGATTCAAATTTAGCCAGTATAGGGGGACCAAAGAGCAGCTCCGGAAAAGAGAGAGCCCATAAACCCCCGCCCCAGCTGTCAGTCATTTTAGGGCCCGGTGGACATGTCCGGAAGTGACATGTGACTCCCCAGTTGGGAGGGGGTGAGGAGGGCAGACCCCATTTTCTAAGAGGGGCATCCCTTGTCTGAGAGGAGCAGCCATTGTCCTGCAGAAGGAGAAGTTTCAGGAGCCATCAGGTGCTGAGGTCAGTGTCCTGAGTTACAGTTGCTGAGCTACACTCCCCGCCCCCCGCCCCGGAACAGAAGAGACCCCACCTCTGAGGTGCCCCTCATTTTGTCCTCAGGAATCTCCCAGAGTTCTGCGTCTTAATTTAAGGGATCAGCCTTTGGTCTGCAGTAGGGACAATCAGGAATCACGGTGAGGACTCTAAGGTTGCAAGACTTTCCCACCCTGTAAAATGGGACCCATCTGAATCCCACAGCCATCAGGGGCACAGGGATAGATGCCAGCCACACACAGGCATCAAGCTCCTCCTTGGGAATCACAGAGAAGTGAGGGCTTAGCTTTGAGGGAGTGGGCACATCTCGGCAGAGGGAAGAAACATAGTCTCTTCTTGGAGTTAAACAGAGGGACTTGAGTGAAGACTGGTGTGTCAGTCCACCTTGGGCCCTCTGTGGGTCCTGTCAGCACTGGGTTCCTCCTCCCTGCAGTGGTGGGCTGATGTTAACATTCACTTTCTCCCCTGGGGTCCAGAGAGGTTTAAGAGATTAGCATCAGAGTAGCAAAGGGAAAGGAACCTAGACCCTGCCAGCATTCCATATGGTGGCAGTCCTGAATGCGAGCTAAGAAATCCCCCTACTGAGGAACAGAAAAAGCCCCACTTAGGACAACTGAGGTGAGACGCAGTAAGCCACAGGTAGATGTATTAGGCTCTGAGCTAAGGCTCACTCTAACTTCCTCGACAGGTTTCTCAAGAGAGACATCATGCCTCATGGTCAGAAGAGTAAGCTCCATGCCCGTCAGAAGTGCCAGCGTACCCGTATTGAAACCCAGGGCCTCAAGGGTGCTGAGGCCTCTGCTGCCAAGGTGGAAGGGTCTCCCTCTTCCTCTTCTGTTTTGGGGAATACCTCCCAGAGCTCCCCTGCGGTTCGCATTTTGCAAGAGTGTAAGAAAGACCCAGTCACTGCCACTACTATTGCAGCTATTTTAGCCAGAAAATCTAATGGAGGTGCCAAGTCCCAACAGGAGAAAAATCCAAGCACTGACAACGAAGAAACTCTCTATATGAACTCAAAGAAAGATCCTCTCTCCTTGAAGGTGAGCCTTTTGGTGGAGTTCATGATCGATAAGTATAAAAATAAAGAGCCCATTATGAAGACAGAGATGCTGCAGCTTCTTAACGAAAATTATGAGGATCAATTCCCTGAGATCCTGAGGAGAGCCAAGGATCGCATGGAGCTGATCTTTGGCCTTGAATTGAAGGAAGATAGCCCCAACAGTAACTCCTGTCACTTCGTCAGCATGTTGAATATTGCCAAAGGAAGAAGTCTAACTGGAGGCAGCAGCTTGCCCAACACAGGTCTGGCGATGACACTCTTGGGCATTATCTTCATGAATGGCAACCGAGTCAGTGAAGATGAACTCTGGGAATTCCTGGGTTTGTTGGACATCTATGCTGGAAAAGTGCATTCAATTTTTGGGGAGCCCAGGAAGTTTATAACCAAAGATTTGGTGATGGAAAGGTACCTG